GTTGCTTTTGTGACTACTATTTAGTTTAGTTTTTCTGATAGTGAAAAGCAGCCAACAAGGTGCAAATATCCCAAAATATTTTATTTTCCATTGCAAAAATAATATATATATACTATATTGCCAAAAGTATTGGGCCGCCGGCCTTTGCACGCACATGAACTTTACTGGCCTCCCAGTCTTAGTCCGTAGGGTTCAATATTGAGTTGGCCCCGCCCTTTCCACGCACATGACCTTTAATGTCCTCCCAGTCTTAGTCCGTAGGGTTCAATATTGAGTTGGCCCCGCCCTTTGCATCTATAACAGCTTCAACTCTTCTGGGAAGGCCGTCCACAAGGTTTAGGAGGGTGTCTATGGGAAGGTTGGACCATTCTTCCAGAAGCACATTTGTCAGGTCAGGCACTGATGTCGGGGGAGGAGGCCTGGCTCACAGTCTCCGCTCTAATTCATCCCAAAGGTGTTCTATGGGGTTGAGGTCAGGACTCTGTGCAGGACAGTCAAGTTCCTCCACCCCAAACTGGCTCCTCCATGTCTTTATGGACCTTGCTTTGTGCACTGGTGCGCAGTCATGTTGGAACAGGAAGGGGCCATCCCCAAACTCTTCCCACAAAGTTGGGTGCATGAAATTGTCTTGGTATGCTGACGCCTTAAGAGTTCCCTTCACTGGAACTAGGGGGCCAAGTGATTGGTCACTCCAGAGAAGACGTCTCCACTGCTCTAGAGTCCATCTGGTGCCATGCTTTACATCACTTCATGATGATTGCAGAGGAATGAAGCAGCAGACACTTAATGCTCTGGATTGAGACAAGTACACACTACAGAAGGCTAGGCTTTGTTCATATTTCATGTCTGAGGTTTACAACCACTTTAAAAAAAATCAAATGGACTGAGATAATCAGCTGTTGTCTCAACTTTGTGAACCAATATACAGTATATCGTATCGCTCATTAAACCATGCACAGACAAGCAGATTCTTCATTGATGTCTTTTATGCTAAAGTTTCTTATCAACACAAAATGTATTTATTTATTTATTTCAGGTACTTATATAGCGCCATCAATTTACTCAGCACTTTACACATATATATTGAACATTCACATCAGTCCCTAACCCTCAAGGGGCGTACAATCTAAAGTCCCTAACTTACATTCATACATACACATACTAGGGCCAATTTAGACTAGATTGAATTAACCTACAAGCATGTCTTCAGAGTGTGGGTGGAAACCAGAGTACCCGGAGGAAACCCACGCAAGCACAGGGAGAACATGCAAACTCCAGGCAGGTGGTGCCGTGGATGGGATTTGAACCAACAACCCTAGCACTACCAGGTGGAAGTGCTAATCATTTAGCCACAAACAAAAATGAAAGATAAACTTTTGGAAACAACTTTTGGAAACAATGTACAATATTCTATGCGTATCTGGTGAGTGCGCACTTTAACCACTTGGATTTTGGGATAACACCATATCTGGACTAGCATAAGTCACCTTGGTCACACCATATATCTTGTCCTTACCGTTTTATATGTATTATTTTATTTGGGAATGTATATGTTTACATTTCTAAGTCCGTTTATTTGACACATTGGGTTTTATGTGTATTCTATTCTATTACCTCAGCGCTGCACAATTTTTTATATAATGTTAGAATTTAGGTGGGCAGCCGGGGGGACCGGAAAACAATAAAAATGGTAATGATTACCCCTCTCCTCTTATTTTGCTTCCTTTTCATCTATGTAAAAACTAAATCATTAATGTCCGCTTCCATCATTCTCCATCCCTTCATTCATGCCCGCTCTTCTTGCTCATCATTCTCCTCCTCTTTCCTTTCCTCCATGCCTGCTCTCCTCCCCATCATTATCTTTTCATCCACATAAATGCTAATAATACCCACTCTCTTCTCACATCATTCTCCTTCCCTTCCATCCATGAACTCTCTCCTCTCCCTTCATTCTCCTTCCATCCATATAAATGATATTAATAATAACTCGTCATTCTTCTTTCTCACCATTCTGCTTTACTTCCATCCTTGCCCACTCTCCTCTCCCATCATTCTCCTTCTCTCCCATCCATATTGTGTAAATGCCTCTAATAATATGCAGGAGAATAATACCAATGCCCACTCTCCTTTCCTATCATTCTCCTTCCATCCATATAAATGCCAATACTCAAGCTCTTCTCCCATCATTCTCTTATTTTTTCATTTTTGGATAGATTAAGGGATGATTATACCCCCTGTCATCTGTGTCCCATTGCAGAGATTTACCTTCAGTTCCTGTGCCATAGGGAAACAGGAGTGTGTCTATGGGAAAGTTTGGCCATTCTTCCAGAAGCACATTTGTCAGGTCAGGCACTGATGTCGGGGGAGGAGGCCTGGCTCACAGTCTCCGCTCTAATTCATCCCAAAGGTGTTCTATGGGGTTGGTGTCAACTCGTCATTCTCCATTCTGCTTTACTTCTATCCTTGCCCACTCTCCTCTCCCATCATTCTCCTTCCATCCATATAAATGCCAATACTCAATCTCCTCTCCCATCATTCTCCTTCCATCCATATAAATGCCAATACTCAATCTCTTCTCCCATCATTCTCCTTTCATCCAATCCCAGTCTTCTCCCCCACTGTTCTGCCTCCAATGGGGGGAATATATAGTATGCCTGTCTTGCTTGCAATATCAATTTTGGCCACAAAATGGAGCTGGTAACAAATTGACTGTTTTACAGAAGCTAGGTACTGTTTAGATAAGAACTATAGGCAAAAACTTTTTTTTGTTTAATTTTTGGATAGATTAAGAGATGAATATACCCCCCGTCAGATTTTTTCACCATCTGTGTCCCATTGCAGAGATTTACCTTCAGTTCCTGTCCCATAGGGAAACAGGAGTGCGTCTATGGGAAGGTTTGGCCATTCTTCCAGAAGCACATTTGTCAGGTCAGGCACTGATGTCGGGGGAGGAGGCCTGGCTCGCAGTCTCCGCTCTAATTCATCCCAAAGGTGTTCTATGGGGTTGAGGTCAACTCGTCATTCTCCATTCTGCTTTACTTCCATCCTTGCCCACTCTCCTCTCCCATCATTCTCCTTCCATCCATATAAATGCCAATACTCAATCTCTTCTCCATCATTCTCCTTTCATCCAATCCCAGTCTCCTCCCCCACTGTTCTGCCTCCAATGGGGGGAATATATTATGCCTGTCCTGCTTGCAATATCAATTTTGGCCACTAAATGGAGCTGGTAACAAATTGACTGTTTTACAGAAGCTAGGTACTGTTTAGATAAGAACTATAGGCAAAAACCTTTTTTTTTGTTTAATTTTTGGATAGATTGAGATGAACCACCATCTGTGTCCCATTGCAGAGATTTACCTTCAGTTCCTGTCCCATAGGGAAACAGGAAGTGGAATAAAAAGCCTGCAAATTAAGTAAATTCCTTGGGGATAGGTCCCCATTGGAAGATTTCCCCTCTATTACTTTTCTGAGGACAACCCAACATTTGGAATATTCTTTTACTTTCAATGATAATGGAAACAGGAAAAATAGAAGGGGAAAATCTCCTTAACGGGGACACAGAAAGCAAAAAAAACCTGACAGATGTTCTAATCCCTCTCTACTCCACCCAAAACTAAACAGTTTTGCCTTTGGTTGTGCTTTAAGAAAAAAAATTCCCAATTGAAGAGAAAAGGAAAGATGCTCCTTGGGAGCTTAGACTCCATCTTAGACACTAAAAGAGAAGGAACCAGCTATTGAAGCAAATGTTGATCCAAGACTTTCATCTTTTTGCATTCCCTAAAGGCAGCATCACTGGTAGGCTTGAACTTTCTGCCATTCTTAACCTAACTATACATTGTGTTTTCTGTATGTTCTTACATTGATTATATGTACTTCTCATCTGTTTTTTCTTAATAGTTTCACCCCACCCTGTTTTGTCAATAAAGCTCCAAGATTACACTCAGTCTGGCTTATTGCAGAATAGGAGAGTTTAGCCGTATGTCAAGCTACAGACAGGGAAATATGTAATGAGGACAGAGCACCCACCATTCTCCTTTCCTTCCATCCATGCCCACTCTTCTCTATATTCCTGACCATGGACAGATAAAATATACTACGAAGAAGTACACAATACAAGCTATATTTCTTAAAATAAACAAAACAAAAGCACAAATAACTACAGTGGGGATCGAAAGTTTGGGCACCCCAGCTAAATTTGTATTAATGTGCATAAAGAAGCCAAGGAAAGATGGAAAAATCTCCAAAAAGGCATCAAATTACAGATTAGACATTCTTATAATATGTCAACAAAAGTTAGATTTTATTTCCATCATTTACACTTTCAAAATAACAGAAATCAAAAAAATGGCGTCTGTAAAAGTTTGGGCACCCTGCAGAATTTATAGCATGCACTGCCCCCTTTGCAAAGCTGAGACCTGCCAGTGTCATGGATTGTTCTCAATCATCGTCTGGGAAGACCAGGTGATTTCAATCTCAAAGGTTTTAAATGCCCAGACTCATCTGACCTTGCCCCAACAATCAGCACCATGGGTTCTTCTAAGCAGTTGTCTAGAAAACTGAAACTGAAAATCGTTGATGCTCACAAAGCTGGAGAAGGCTATAAGAAGATAGCAAAGCGTTTTCAGATGTCAATATCCTCTGTTCGGAATGTAATTAAGAAATGGCAGTCATCAGGAACAGTGGAAGTTAAAGCAAGATCTGGAAGACCAAGAAAAATATCAGACAGAACAGCTCGCAGGATGGTGAGAAAAACAATTCAAAACCCACGTTTGACTGCACGATCCATCCAGAAAGATCTGGCAGACACTGGAGTTGTGGTACACTATCCCACCAAAACGTTCAATCCCCACTGTACATCACAAAAAAAGCAAAGCAAAAAAAAAAACAGATTTAAAAGAAAAAAATCTTTAACTTTGTGATATTGTATCTATATTAATAGACATTTTAATGGAACAACAACAGCAGTAAAAAAAAAATCAGATTTTCTGTCAGCCTTTAGAAGCTTTTTTTTTGAGACTTATGTTTCCACTAGTGCAGGTATAGGAAAATCCATCAGACACCCCATCAGAAGAACCGCCGAACACGTCACAGATGGATTTTGTGGCACAGCCACGACAAGATGTTGACACTGATAAGGCTGGAAAAAAAAAAAAGCCACAGAAAGAAAAAAAATTTTAAAACGATAAATTCATTTTACAAATGAGAACATTAAAATTCTACCTAGATCTTTACACCAACAGAAATATTTAAATTAATGTATTAATAAGTGTAAAATGTTAAATGAAATATTTTATAAAACATTTTGATAGAGAACACACACATACACAAATGTTAAAATTCTACCAGGATCTTTACACCAACAGAAATATTTAAATCAATGTATTACCGTATATACTCGAGTATAAGCCGAGTTTTTCAGCACATTTTTTTTGTGCTGAAAAACGGCCCCCTCGGCTTATACTCGAGTCAACGTCTGCAGATGTCTAGCAGGGGGACAGAACAGAAGGGAAACTAAGTACAGGGGTGGGCAGGGGGCTGCTGTCTCTTACCTGGCTCCGGTCCCACGACGATCCGGTCCAGGAAGCGCGGCTGCTCCTTCATTCGGTTCGTCCACTGGATGTTCGCGCGGCTCCTCGGCTCCGCCTTCTCACCGGTGATTGGCCGCCAGAACTGTAGCTCAGGAAAGGCACACAGGCGGCCAATCACCGGCGAGGAAGCGGAGCTGAGCGGCCCCGCGAAAATCGAGTGAAGGAGATGCAGGTAAGTGTGCCGTGCTTAGGTGCTGCTGCAACCACATATGCTGGCTGCAGCAGCACCATACTGGAACAGGGGTCAGCAAGTGTCAGTGGGAGGAATAGTGCCCCATCATTGGTGTCACTGATACCAATGATGGGGCATTATTCCTCCCACTGACACCAACGATGGGGCACTTTTCCTCCCACTGACACCAATGATGGGACACTATTCCTCCCACTGATACCAATGATGGGGCACTATTCCACCCCCCACTGACACCAATCATGGGATACTATTCCTCCCCCCCCCACTGACACCAACGATGGGCACTTTTCCTCCCCCCCACTGACACCAACGATGGGGCACTATTCCTCCACCCCCCACTGACACCAATGATGGGATACTATTCCTCCCCACTGACACCAATGTTGGGACACTATTCCTCCCACTGACACCAATGATGGGACACTATTCCTCCCACTAACACCAAAGATGGGGACACTATTCCTCCCACTGACACCAAAGATGGGGCACTATTCCACTGACACCAATAATAGGGTGCCTCATTTCCCACCCTCGGCTTATACTGGAGTCAATAGTTTTTCCCAGTTTTTTGTGGTAAAATTAGGTACCTCGGCTTATATTCGGGTCGGCTTATACTCGAGTATATACGGTAATAAGTGTAAAATGTTAAATGAAATATTTGATAAAACATTTTGATAGAGAACACACACACAAACGTTAAAAATTCTACCAGGATCTTTACACCAACAGAAATATTTAAATGTTTAATATTGGAGTTAAAGCTTAAAATTTTAAATTAAACATTTTTATATATAATATATTAATCATAATTTTTTTTAAATATATGTATTTAATTTTAAATGAGGATGACCTTCAAAATTCTTGCCCACATCTTTACATCAACAGGAATATTTAAAGCACCCTTCATTCACACTGTATTGATGAAGAAAGCCATGAGGATGTTATTACATCAACACTGCGCTCTACATCATGGAGGGCCACCACTAGCAGAAGAATGAAGAGGACCCTGAATTTCACAAGACCAATCAGGAAACAGGGGAACATAGTAATAGAAAAGGGCCCCCAGTCACAAATAGAAAAGAAGTCTTGGATGTGTGACCCATACCTGAGACTTTCATAGTCTGGGTAGCGCACATGGTCTCATTGCCTTTGCATTGCATGGTCTTAGAAGCAGTGCACGAGGTGGATTTGTCATCCACGCAGGATGGGCACAGCAAACCATTCCACACCGAGCTGACCTCTGGCACTAAGAGAGAGAAGACAGAAAAAAAAATAAAAATTCATCACAATATATATATATCACACACATACAAATATTGCCAAAAGTATTGTCCTCGCCCTCCAAATCATGTGATTCAGGTGTTCCAATCCCCTCCATATCATGTGATTCAGGTGTTCCAATCCCCTCCATGGCCACAGGTGTATACAATCAACCCCCTAGGCATGCAGACTGCTTCTACAAACATTGGTGAAAGAATGGGTCGCTCTCAGGAGCTCAGTGACTCCAAGCGTGGTCCCGTGATAGGTTGCCACCTGTGCAATAAGTCCATCCGGGACATTAAGAGCCACTGATAGGTTGCACTCATGGGCACTGATGAAGAGGCACTGATGGTAGATGAGACTGCACTGATGGGTGGGACTGGGGGGGCTGCACTGATAGGTGGAACTGATGGGGCTGCACTGATGATCAGTGCCCTGATTATCAGTGTAAATGTGTGCTGTCCCTGGTTATTGGCTTTCCTATCCTCGGACAGCGACAGCTCTGAGGAAAGGAAATGCCAATAACCAGCATTTGCTTACCTGTGATTGGACACAGCTGATCACATGGTAAAGAGCCAACGCCATTGGCTCTTTACCCTGATGGTTGATGCACGGTGTGGCCGGGGCGTGCATGCGCAGCAAGAATGGGAGGACGTTGTATGACATCCTCCCAGAACGAGAGAGGTCCCGACGGTCGTCTTTCCACAACAGGCTGGGTGGGAACCAGTTAATAGATGATGACACATAGGGAGTCCAAACGGCACGCAACACAGAGTGACTGCAAACCGTACTGTGTTCCATTGGCTGTGGTCTCTGAATTTACAGTGGTGGGGTACTCAAGCAACGTTGAACAATGGGTGGGGGGATTTAGTAAACTGCAGAGTGCCAAGTTTGGTTCAGCTCTGCATAGAAACCAATTCAAATCGACACCCACCCATCAACACATTTTGGCATTTCATAACTCTTCCCAAGATCCAGCCCACTGCTTACATCAGGACTTCTTGACAGAAGTACTGAGACAAGGTGCTGTGATGTTTTGAGGAAGCTATGTATAGTACCCTCTCACCAGCCATGATTTTCATAGAGATGCACAGAGACCCAGTGATGACATCACTTTATCATTGGATTTCAGTTTTTTTTTTTCAATCATGAAGGCACAGCACAGGGGCAGACTGACCATTCGGGCACCGCCCAAGGGCCCAGGGTCAGTAAGGGGCCCCGTGAGATGCCCCTAGTACCTTTCATAGGCTTTTTTGGGGTGTGGTTTGAGTGTGGGTGAGGACACAGGGGCCCCATGATCCCCTATTGCCTGGGGGCTCCATGTGTTGTCAGTCCGTCCCTGGCTCAGCATCACATGTGGTGTGTGACCTAGGAAGGTCTGCATGTAAATACAGCCTGCCTAGGAACGCCCACTCCCTCTAACCGACACCCATCCATCAAGACATTTGGCATTTCATAACTCCTCCCAAGATCCAGCCCGCTGCTTACATCAGGCTGGGGAGTTCTTGACAGAAGTTCCGAGAAAAAGCTGCTGTGATGTTTTTTAGGACGCTATATACATCACCCTGCCAGCCATGATCTGTCTGTGTTGCATAGAGAAGCAGGGAGACCCAGTTATGCCATTGCCAGGTCTAAAATAAGTTATGTAATGGAAACGGGAAAGTTTTATTTTCAAATTTAATTTGAATGTTCAGGGGGGGGGCAGGGAAGGGAACATATCAGCAGATGAAACATTAGCTTTAAAGTACCATATAGAAGAAGAACTTACAGGTAGGTAAATCCGGGACGCAGTTGTCGGTGGTGCAGCAGGAAGTAGCCATTCTTACCCTCCCATTATCAGGAAGGCTGCCAGTGCCAGTTATCCCGCACATCTTCTGAAGGCCGCAGGTCAGGGTGTACAGCGCCCAGGGGTAGCCTCCTGGAACAGGACACTCTGTTATCTTCTGCATTGTAAATCAGCTCAGAGCAACGTTTAGTATATAGGATTTCAGAGAGGAGCATTTTTTTCTTGTTATTTAGCTTTGAACATTTTTTTCGGTTGACAAACTACATTAGGGTGCCATTCAAACTGTGTGCAGTGTAGTGAATACTGCGAGTAACCTCACCTCCCCATGGGAGGAAAAAAAACATGGGAAAATTGGGGATTTAAAGGGTGCAAGCAAACACGAGAGCAAAAAAAAAAAAAAATCTCTATAAAGCTTCTTTTATCATATACAAAATATTAAAAATAGTTTTTACTTAGAAACCTCCTGGTAAAAAGATATTATGCAGGACTTAAATTGAGCAAAAAAATGTTAAAAGAAGCAAAGTATAGATCGACGCGTTTCACCCCCCCCCCCCCCCCCCCACAAAAAAAAAGTGTTTCTTCAGTATCCACTTCGTTATTGCCGCAGATTTGCTTGTATAGCTAATGAACAATATAATTTAAAAAAATGTGGCATTTAAAATAAATGACACCCCAACATATGTCACATCCTTTGGCTTAAAGGGGAACTCCATACCTACCTAGCTTTTTATTCCCTGCTAAAAATCATATGTAGGAAAAAAAATAAAAAATAAAAAAATCACACACACACACAAAAAATTATATACATATATACACTCACAGACAAATAAAAAAATATATATACACAGACACACAAATAAAAAAAATTACATACACACAAATAAAAAAAATTATATACATATATACACACACAAATAAAAAAAATATATACACACACAAAAAAAAATATATACACAGACACAAATAAAAACGTTATATACACACATATAAAAAGTTATACACACACATACACACAAATAAAAAAATTATATACACACAAATAAAAAAAATTATATAGACACAAATAAAAAAAAAATTATATACACACATACACACAAATAAAAAAATTATATACACACAAATATTATATACACACAAATAAAAAAATTACATACACACACACAGACGGGACACACACACACACCCACCTACTAATCCATGGATACAGGAGAAAGAAGTCCTAAATGCTGCAGACCAACACAACCCCACGGTCAGCATAGTAGCAACCTAAGCCCAACTCCGTCCAGGCCACGTTTCGACCATGGGTGGGACGCAACGCGTCGGAGCTAGGCTGAGGCTGCTCTTACTATGACGACCGTTGGGTTGTGTCAGTGTGGAGCAGTTGGGACTTCTCTTTTCTGTACCTATTACACTGAGCCAGGACGGGCTCTTCCCAGCCAGCACCCCCAGCATGAGACACCAGATTGGAACACAGGAGCATGGAGTGGTACCTGTCGGGAATCAGGGTATGACCAGAGGTGTGTGGACTGACACAGGGAAACGCAGGCTTCAGATATGGGTATAAACAATATGATTTATTAAGACTAACAATACAAAACGCAGTGCAAAACTAAACATAAACACAGTGCAAACAAACCAAACCACCCACAGATATAACAATACATACAATGCAAGAGTCGTCAAGCAGGCCGGGTCAGTAGCAAACGGGCAAACGGAGTACCAGGAACAGGCGGGAGAGTGGTCGGGGTCACAAGCTGGGTTCAGTTACTCACGGGCAGCGCGGTACAGAGGGTCAGGCAGAGAATGGTCAGGGTCACAAGCCAGGGATCAAGCAGGAGAAGTCCGCAGAGGTCAGGATCAGGCAGGGTCGGCAACAAGTCAGACAGGAACAGGAATACAGGATATAAGATACAGGGGCCCATGGAAAACACATACTACGGCCTTGACTGTGAGTCTGGCCATTCCTTAAATACAACCCCTGCAATCAGCTTCAGGTGTTTGGCTGATTGCAGGGGTGAGTCTCTGATTGTTGAGATGAGAGCACCCGCTGGCCAGCCCTGGTACTGCAGCCCACAAGGCAGGTGAGTCCCACCATTATTGGCAAGTCCATTCCTGACAGTACCCCTTAGTTCTTTGATGCGACTACTAGTCCACAGAGTCTGGTGTTGTCCTTCCTCCAGGCCAAGTGTTCTTAGTTGTTCAATTCCTATGCTGCCATCTTGCTCAGACATCCTGTGCATGCGTAGACCCAGAACCTGGCAGAACCCAGTGGCTTGTCTACACATGGGTTGGAGTCACGTGAACATTCCACGCATGCGCAGGCTCACCACTCAGCTCTTCCAGATCCCATAGACTGGCAGAGGACTGCTCTTTTCTGCACATGCATGGGGGTCTACCGCAGTTCTGCCCATATGCAGGCATGTTGTTTGGCTCTACAAGGTCCTATAGCGCATGCCTAGGCATGGATGAAGGAACCTGCCCAGGTAATGAAAAAATATATATATTTAACGTCCCCTGAATTGTGTAAGAGGTGGGGGAGGAGTCATAGGAGACAAAGTCGTATGTATGGGCAGAGCTCCACTTTAATGGTAAAGCAGGCGGGGGGTGGGGAGGTTCCGGGACCAAAGTGGGTAAGGAGTTCCAGTGCAGATAGGACACTTTCTGGAAGAACATTGATAAGACATAAGACTCCTCTACTGCAGAGTACTTACCTTGGGTGCGCAAAATTGAGAAGAAGATTTCACTTTTTAAAACATTCTGCGAATATCAAAGCCAATTTTATGTATTTTCTGTGGAGGAAGACGGCCCAACGTTTTTTCGTCATTTGTTACAGAAGCAAAAAAGCTATGAAGACTCATTTATGGATCTCTGCTGACAACTACGCTCCCGAAGTCTAGCTCCGCCTTCAGTTCTTAAAGGGGAACTCACCTACTTCAAACGAGGTGTATGTAACTAAACAGGCAGAGCCGGGAAGACAAGCAAAGCTGGGGCTGGTGCATGAAGTGGCTCTTGTAGTTCCACATTGCATACAGGACAGCGAGGAACCTAAAAAGGCAGAGAAATCAGGGACAGTCTGTGCAGGAGTCATATCAATGGCATTATTTATTATTATTACAGGTATTTCTATAGCACCATCAATTTACATAGCACTTTACATATATATTGTACATTCACATCAGTCCCTAACCCTCAAGGGGTGTACAATCTAAGGTCCCTAACTCACATTCATACATACACATACTAGAACCAATTTAGACAGGAGCCAATTAACCTACCAGCATGTCTTTGGAGTGTGGGAAGAAACCAGAGTACCCAGAGGAAACCCACACAGGCACAGGGGGAGAACATGCAAATTCCAGGCAGGTGGTGCTGTGGTTGGGATTTGAACCAACGACCCGAGTACTGCTAGGTGGAAGTGCTAACCACTTAGCCACTGTGCTGCCCATTATAGTTTATCGCAAACACTGCCAAGGGGGAAGATGCCAAAATGCAAATTTGTCTGGTACAAAGTATTTTTAATATAGCTCTGCTAAACAAATAAATGCATTTTGTTTTTCAAGTTTACATATAAATACATTAAAAAAATGCAAAAAAAAAAAAAAAAAAGCTAAGGGAAGAAGGGGTTAATAGAATACATTAGTGCTAAGCCACCGTGTAAAGTGCGAAGAGAAAGAAAGTTGTTAAAGAAAATGAACTAAAGAAAAGTGGATCAGCTCTAGGAAAACCCCAACCACCAGCTAACGAGACATGTAAAGAGATGGCGCTAGGGTATCACCTTGGGATACCATTACATCGTCCCGTGGGTGGACAACCTGACAGGGTGGAGTACGACAATGGGTAGTGCCAGTCCTTTTCCCAGTCATGGGGACAATGAGGATTTTCACGTGGGTATGGCGGTATATATACACTGGGATTTTTTTTTTACCCTTTACTAGTAATGGCGGCGATCAGTGACTTCTAGTGGGACTGTGGCGGGCATTCTGACATAGGATGGAAACTGACATGGTGTCACTGACATCCCCAGTGACACCAATACAGTGATCAGTGCTAATAAAAAAGCACTGACACTGTACTAATGGCACTGGGCAGGAAGGGGTTAACATGTGGGGCGGTCAAAGGGTTAACTGTGTGCTGTTTTACTGTAAGCTATGTGTGCTTCACTGTAAGCACACAGCTTTGTATGGCTCTGCATAGCAGTGTGCAGGAGCGGACAGGAGGGGAGAGAACTGTATAGTTTACATACAGTTCTCTACGCCGTCGGTAATGCTCGGCGATCACTGGGTGCCAGCGAGTAATCACTGGCCGGGACCCGGTGATTGACAGCCAAGGCCGAATCATTATAAAAAAAAATGTTATATATATATATATATATATACACACATGGCTACATACACACACATACATACAGTGAGGCAAAAAAGTATTTAGTCAGCCACCAATTGTGCAAGTTCTCCCACTTACAAAGATGAGAGAGGCCTGTAATTGGCATCATAGGGAGACCTCAACTATGAGAGACAAAATGAGAAAACAAATCCAGACAATCACATTGGCTGATTTGGAAAGAATTTATTTGCAAATTATGGTGGAAAAAAAGTATTTGGTCACCTACAAACAAGCAAGATTTCTGGCTCTCACAGACCTGTACCTTCTTCTTTAAGAGGCTCCTCTGTCCTGCACTCATTACCTGTATCAATGGCACCTGTTTGAACTTGTTATCAGTATAAAAGACACCTGTCCACAACCTCAAACAGTCACACTCCAAACTCCACTATGGTGAAGACCAAAGAGCTGTGAAGGACACCAGAAACAAAATTGTAGACCTGCACCAGGCTGGGAAGACTGAATCTGCAATAGGCAAGCAGCTTGGTGTGAACAAATCAACTGTGGGAGCAATAATTAGAAAATGGAAGACATACAAGACCACTGATAATCTCCCTCGATCTGGGGCTCCACGCAAGATCTCACCCCGTGGGGTCAAAATGATCACACGAACGGTGAGCAAAAATCCCAGGACCACACGGGGGGGACCTAGTGAATGACCTGCAGGGAGCTGGGACCAACATAACAAAGGCTACCATCAGTAACACACTACGCCGCCAGGGACTCAGATCCTGCAGTGCCAGACGTGTCCCCCTGCTTAAGCCAGTACATGTCCGGGGCCCGTCTGAAGTTTGCTAGAGAGCATTTGGATGATCCAGAAGAGGATTGGGAGAATTGCATATGGTCAGATGAAACCAAAATAGAACTGTTTGGTAGAAACACAACTCGTCATGTTTGGAGGAGAGAGAATGGTGAGTTGCATCCAAAGAACACCATACCTACTGTGAAGCATGGGGGTGGCAATATCATGCTTTGGGGCTGTTTCTCCACAAAGGGACCAGGACGACTGATCCATGTACAGGACAGAATGAATGGGGCCATGTATCGTCAGATTTTGAGTGCAAACCTCCTTCCATCAGCAAGAGCATTGAAGATGAAACATGGCTGGGTCTTCCAACATGACAATGATCCCAAACATACCGCCCGGGGAACGAAGGAGTGGCTTCGTAAGAAGCATTTCAAGGTCCTGGAGTGGCCTAGACAGTCTGCAGATCTCAACCCCAAAGAAAACCTTTGGAGGGAGTTGAAAGGCTGTGTCGCCCCAAAACATCACTGCTCTAGAGGAGATCTGCATGGAGGATGGGCCAACATACCAGCAACAGTGTGTGCCAACCTTGTGAAGACTTACAGGAAACGTTTGACCTCTGTCATTGCCAACAAAGGATATATAACAAAGTATTGAGATGAACTTTTGATTTTGACCAAATACTTATTTTCCACCATAATTTGCAAATAAATTCTTTCCAAATCAGCCAATGTGATTGTCTGGATTTGTTTTCTCATTTTGTCTCTCATAGTTGAGGTCTCCCTATGATGCCAATTACAGGCCTCTCTCATCTTTGTAAGTGGGAGAACTTGCACAATTGGTGGCTGACTAAATACTTTTTTGCCCCACTGTACATATACGCACACACATGTGATTTTGCACACGCCTGCTGCCCTGTAGCAGTATATCCGCTATAGGGCGGTGGGAAAGTGGTTAAGTGGTTATTTGGATGGATACCCGGCATAGGGAGTTTGCGTCAAATAATTGGTGGTTTGATAATAGCATGTTGTGGTCTAATTGCATTTGTCTACAGTGTATTCCCAATTTGGGGACAATGGCACGTTCAGTAAATCAATACTGATGAAAGGTACGAAGGGTGAATGCAACCATTGTCACTTTGACAAAAAGGGAGGTTGTGAAAGGGTTAATAGTTAATTCACTTTTGCTTTGTGCTTGCTAACTGGTTTAGTTTACATACAAGATGTTCCCGTGGGATTGGAATGCTGATATCTACGCACATATTTCATGTTGTGAGAAATTGCAGAAGTTACTATCTTGTTGCATTCTTGTTATTACTAGTGATAGGCCAAACACTGGGCCCTCTGGGTCTGGTATGGATTTTGAGGGGAACCCCCACGCCAAATGTAAAAAAAAGTGTGGGGGTCCCGTCTAAAATCTATACTAGACCTTTATCTGAGCATGCAGCCCAGCAGGTCAGGAAAGGGGGGGGGGGGGTGAGCAAGCGTTCCCCTCCTCCTGAACCATACCAGGCCACATGTCCTCAACATGGAGGGGTGCTTTGTGGCAGACGGGGCTCCCCCCCAAAGCACCTTGTCCCAAGGTGTAAAACGCTACCAAGTGTAAAAACCGCCCTGGCGCATCATGCAGCATTCACTCAGCATTCACTCAGCACCCCAAGAAATAACAGAATAAAACTGCAGTGTTCTTGCACCGTCAAAGCCTCCACTTTTAGTCCTCATGCACACGGAATGTTTTTACAGCGGGTGTTTTTTTTTACAGCCAGTGAACCCCCCAGCACACATAGACTGGAATCAACGTATTTTGGCAGGGATGTTTATTTGGCTGGAAAAAAAAAACCCGGACTAGTGTCTTTTTAACTGTAAAAACCTTCTAATGCTGAAAAAAACACGGCAAAACACTGCACACTGGCATTTTTGGACTTTTTTTTACAAAAAAAAAATATATATATATATATATATATTTTTTTTTTTTTGTAAAAAAAATGTTGAAAAATGCAAACACAGCAAAACGCTAATAAAAGCTGAGAAACTCATGTTTTTACGTGACTTTACACAGCTGACATTACCAGCGTTGTGAAAATGCTCCGTGTGCATGGAGCCTTATTATCACACAACACACACATCAACAGTAATGTGAGTATTACAACATGAAATAAACACATCTTTTGACAGCATGACAGCATAGAATAAGTACATTACCAAAGCTACGGGAAGAAAGGAAGGAAGACACCTCATTGAACCACAGTGCACAGGAGATCGTGGAGAAGCCCGGAGCACGACCAACTGATGAGTCCAAGCAGCTTCGGTAAAAGTCCCAGCGTCAGAGCATCCCCTCAAGCGTGGAATGGCTTCTCATTTCCAGACTTCTCTTAAATATCCCCGCTCAGTGCTTCTGACCACAATCCCAGATTGGGCCTCACCCACTCCAAGATGCCCTTTTTCAGATAAAACTGAAAGGTTCTGTGAGGTCACAGAGTCACACCCAATCACTTATCACTATAAACACAGGATACTTTTTGAAACATTTCCAACTGCAAAAACAAGTCTTTTCTAATACAATCGGCCTAATTCTACTATATCTTGTGACTTTGTAAGTTTCCCTTAGCCTAGAGAATGATGTAATGTCTGTTCCACGTGCTTCTGGCATATGGGCAGCGATGCTTTACTGTAAAAAATCCCCAAGGAAACCAAAGGCCCAAGGCCAGCACTGATACATTTGTCTGTATCTTTCATATCTGCCTGGATGTCGGTTTTGACATTTTGTTATGTATTGAGAACAAAATTTTAAAAAAATTAGACAAAACATCTTTTATATATTTTTTGTAGAATCGACAAAAATACTCACCAGATGGTACCAAGGCCAAAACGACTGGGAGAATCCAAAACATAGGCGCCATTTCTTGAGGTTTTCACTTCCTTAGGCTGCTGTAAGGTGGATGAGAGTATT